CGGGGCGGGGGGGGCGATCCGGACGACGCTGCAGAAGGCGCAGCAGAAGGCGCGGCGGGGCTCGCGAAGGGCGCGGGGGCGCGGGGGGTGGGCGGGGCGGGGGGTCGCGAAGGGCGCGGGCGGACGCGCGCGCGGGGCGCGGGGCGGGCGCGCGGGCGCGCGGCGCGACGGGGGTCGCGAAGGGGGGTCGTGGGCGGGGGTATTGGTTGAGGGGGGGGGGGGTCAAGGTGAGGTAGTCTCGAGGGCGAGGTCATGGTCAAACCGAAGTAACACCTAGGTGTGAAAAGGTGACCCTCCCAGCTGCTGGTCCTAGACCGGATACCTCGCTCAGTGGAAGGCCCAAACCGGAAGTTCCTCGCCCAGGAAAAAGCCTAAACCGGAAGTTCCTCCCCCTGTAGAAAAGTTCACTACTTATAATATATATATAAAATATATATAAAATATATAAATATATATATATAATATATATATATTTATATAGTAAATTGAACAGAGTACCTAACGATCTTTTTATTGTTCATCGACAGAGGAAGAACTGGACAATGGAGGTGGTGGCGAGTAGCGTCGTATTAGCGGTGTTAACTCTGCTTTTGTTCCTGGTGTGGAGGAAGGCCTCATATTGGTCATCCCGAGGGGTGCCCTATGTCTCTGCATACATAAGCTTCGGATACACAATCTACTGGATCTTCAGGAAACATGAACAATTGTGGATAATGGTTGATAAGGTAATACTTTGAAAGATATATTTTATTTAACAAAATTACTAAGTGAATTCACTAAGAATATGTATTTTGAATATTATTCTTTGAAGGTATGTATATATGTACGCACAAACACACAGAAACACACACACACACAATGCATACAGCTGAGGAAGAACTGAAGAGGTTGTTAAGCGAGCTAGATACCTCAAAGGCGATGGGGCCGGATAACATCTCTCCATGGGTCCTGAATATTCTCAGGTTTTCCAGGCGCCCATGTGCCGCGGCAGTTATCTTGATGTGCGCCTCGCCCCAAGTTCCTTTTCCTTGAGTGAGGTTTGCAGTCTTTGGCCATCAAGCCTATACTCTGTCTGCGGTCTTCTTTGCCCTTCCCCGATCTTCATGACTTTGCATTTTGTGGGGTTAAATTCGAGGAGCCAGTTGCTGGACCAAGCTTCCAGCCTCTCCAGGTCTCTTTGTAGTCCTGCCTGATCCTCATGCGATTTAATTCTCCTTATTAACTCCACATCATTTGCAAACAGGGACATTTCTGAATCTATCCCTTCCGTCATGGCATTCACATATACCAAAAATAGCACCGGTCCTAGGACTGACCCCAGTTGAACCCCGCTTGTCACAGGTACCCACTCTGATACCTCGTCACGTATCATGATTAGTTGTCGCCTCCTTGTCAGATATTCTCTGTTCCATTGCAGTGCTCTTCCTGTTATATGTGCCTGATCCTCTAGCTTTTGCACTGATCTCTTGCGAGGAACTGTGTCGAAGGCCTTCTTTCAGTCCAAGAAAGTTCAATTTACCCACCCCTCTCTCTCGTGTCTTCCGTTACCTTTTCATAAAACTCCAGTAGGTATGTTGCACTGGATTTGCCTTCCTTGAATCCAGGCTGGTTGTCATTTATAAGCTTGTTCCGTTCTAGGTGCTCTACCACTCTCCTCCTGATAATCTTCATGACTTTGCATACTATACACGTCAGTGACACTGGTCTATAGTTTAGTGCCTCGTGTCTGCCTCCTGTGTGTATGCGTGTGTTGTGTACTCACCTACTCACCTAGTTGTGGTTGCAGGGCTCGAGTCATAGCTCCTGGTCCTGCCTCTTCACTGGTCGCTACTGGGTCACTCTTCCTGCTCAATGCGCTTTATCATACCTCTTCTTAAAGCTATATATTAATCCTGCCTTCACTACATCATTTCCCAAACTATTCTACTTCCTGACAACTCTGTGACTGAAGAAATACTTCCTAACATCTCTGTAATTCATCTGAGTCTTCAGCTTCCAACTGTGACCCCTTGTTGCTGTGTCCCATCTCTGGAACATCCTGTCTCTGTCCACCTTGTCGAGTCCTCTCAATATTTTATATGTCGTTATCATATCCCCCCTATCTCTCCTGTCTTCCTGTGTCGTCATGTCGATTTCCTATAGCTTCTCCTCGTAGGACATACCGCTTATCTCCGGAACTAGTCTTGCGCGCGCGTGTGTGTGTGTGTGTGTGTGTGTTGTGTGTGTGTGTGTGTGTGTGTGTGTGTGTGTGTGTGTGTGTGTGTGTGTGTAAAAAAGTATAATACTCTCTTCGTGCGGCTAGATACAATGAACATTATGTGACATCTCATTACATCTCTTAGTAACCAAATTCTTGAGAGTAACAATATTGAAGCTGTTGTTAATTATTTACTGCAGTACCTTGCATATTACTGTTAATGCGTAATACCGTACTCATTAAGTATTATTATAATGTGTTTTAAATTAATGAATTCCAACAATATGTTTAAATGCGTGAGATCGCAAAAATCTTTAGCAAATATATACTTGTAAATAAAGAAATTACAAAAGATAAAAACGAGAAATTATTAATACTATAATTTTATTACAGTTGTAAATAAACAATATACCATAAATACCGTAAAGGAAACTATAATTTTTATTTTGAAAAATAGTTGAACAACTTAGTTTACACTTTTTTTTTTAATCTTCTTTTTATCAGCGTTCATATTTTTATAGCAGTGAATATTTTTCAACGCCTACCAAACTCAAATGTCTAGTTCAGTGTTCGGATCCGAGTTTATTATGAATTCACAAGCATTATCTGCTTTCGCATTTAACATTGATAATTCACCCAATGTGAGTTCTTTCATGGGCGCAGCATTTCCTTGTTGATTTTTCTTTGTTCCTTCCTATAGATGTTGTTGATCCATTCCTACAAGTGTTGCATCATCAAGGTCAATGGAATGTAAGCCAGTGCATTGATGCACAGTTTTGTAATATAAAACTTCTAATCTGAGATGATCTTTCCCAAGCTGCAATGTTTTCACAAATAGCTTCGTTCAATATGGGACTCAAAAACTGGCAAAATCACTGGAACATTGCCACACAGCTCTCATATTGCTCTTAGTTACTTCAGGCAGAAATACCACTACTACTACTACTACTACTACTACTACTACTACTACTACTACTACTACTACTACTACTACTACTACTACTACTACTACTACTATTACTACTACTACTACTACTACTACTAATAATAATAATAATAATAATAATAATAATAATAATAATAATAATAATAATCTTAATTTCTTCAAGTACATGTACAAGGTACACTGGCCTAGCTGACATCAATGACATACAAAGCCCCTCGTTATTCAGAACATTTCGGGCAAATTAGGTCAATTTTGTCCCCCGGATGTGACACACACCAGTCAACAACACTCAAGTACCTATTCAACTGACAGGTGAACAGGAATAGCAGGTGTCTTAAGCAAACACGTCCAAATGTTTCTACCCATACCGAGGATCGAACCACGGACCTCCTTGTGTGAGCTGAGTGCACTTGCAATCGAGTTACCGGACACCATAAATCATGTTTTCAGTTGCATTTCGGATATTGTAACCTTTCCAAAATTCGTTTAAACGTGTGACATTTTCTCCCTTTGTTACTTTTATGGCTTTGCGCAAAGGTACATCTTAAATGATAGGCCTTAAATGTAGTAATGACACCCTGTAATATTGATATCGTGTATGGTGGCAGGAAAATTACTTTGACATTTTCATCAAGTCAGAAAGAGAAGTAGGATGACCTGATGCACTGTTCAATAACTACTACTACTACTAGTGAACATCGAAATGGTACCTCACTAGTATTACACCTCACTCTGAGCCTTTATATACCCTCTGTGTCCATGTATTGTTTGTAATGGCTTGATAAAGTTCCTGGAGAGCGAAACGTTGCCACAATAAATGTCACATTAGTTGCACTTGTGTCCTTTTACTTTACATACAATAAATTTTCAAACCAGTCTGCAAACAATTATCTGGTTACCCAGGCTTTCATATTTTACCGCCATATCACAGGAAGAGCATTTTTTGATGTTGGAATTCTGGTCACAGCGCCAGTGCAGACAGTGAGGCAGCTGCAACATTTCCTAATGATTTAAAAAATTTATTGAAGAAAATGGCTACTGAGACAAGCAAATTTTTAACGTAGATAAAACGGGTTGTTTTGAGAGAAGATGCCGTCACACATTTACTTGGAGGAAAAAAAATTACGACCAGGATATGAAGTCTCCAAAGACAGTTCGCTGGGGATGTATCTGGTGACCTTAAATTAACTTGTATTCTGGTGTACAGAGAGGAAAATCCAAGGGCTCGATTTTCCTCTCTGTACACTAGCATAAGCATTCTCACCTAATAAAAGCGATCGATCTTTGGAGACTTTATATCCTGGTTGTGATGATTATTTTTTCCTCCAAATAAATGTGTGATGGCATCTCAAAACAACCCGTTTCATCTACGTTAAAAATTTGTTTGTCTTAGTAGCTGTTTTCTTCAATAAATTTTTTAGATCAAAAGGGAATCTTGCAGCTGCCACATTGTCTGCACTGGAGATCTGACCAGTAATTCAAACATTATGCAGCCTCATACGCTCTTAAAGTTACAAAACCAGCCATGACTGCCAAAAATCTTTCTGCTTCATCGTCATTTTCTTTTTTAACATTGAACACAGACTTGTTAATTTAGCTTGAATCGTCAACTGCGTAACATTAAATGTTATCCATGTCAGCACCATGACTTTTAACAATCAATTTGACATATAAGATACTGTAGCTATTGCATGCCTTTAATTTTATCTGTATTCCCTATATACGCACGTACCGATGCTGTCTTCATCTTAGCATGTGGTTTATAATGGCTATTTTACTATGTAGTTTTATCATTTCTAGTTTTTTTTATCTAATGTTAAGCATTTACCTTTACAAGAAAACTCAGTGTCATTGTATTTCTTCTTTCCAGTCATATTTGTGTATAAAAGTACTTTATAATAACAGAAAAAAATAGTGTATACGTATGTACTGTGTAAGACTACGCAGCTTCACTGCTCCGAGTCTGCTGCGATACTAATGTTGACATCATGTTAGTCCGGTACTCAGCAGCAATCCAATATCGGTGCGTAATGTAGTTAAATAAAATTTATGTTATTAACTTTATTAACGGTATTATATCAAAACCCGTACTGTATAAGGTATTACTGAATATATTTTTTTTTTTTTTTTTTTTTTTTTTGTATTTCAGAGAAAATATATTTTTGATACTGATGCAGAAATTCTTCTCATTAACTCCCACAGAGTTACCAGAGGTACAAAGACAAAGGGTATTATGGGTTATACGGACTAGATTTTAAGCCATCATTGATGGTAGGGAACCCAGAGTTGGTGAAGCGAGTCATGGTACAGGATTTCGACTATTTCCACGATCGTAGGATCATCGATCTCACTGATAAGGATATATACTTCAAAGAGATGTTGACAATGGTGAGTGGCAACCACTGGAAGGGTGTCAGGTCGGTCGTGACGCCAACATTTACATCTGGGAAGATGCGCAAGATGTTTCCCCTCGTTTTAGAGAAAGCAGATGCCATGATGCAACATTTCAGGAACATTCATCACCAGAAGAACGTCTCTGTAAAAATGAAGTTTTCATTCTCTCGCTATGTCATGGATGTCATAGCTGCCTGCGCCTTCGGGATTGAATGTAACTCTATTGAAAATGAGGAAGAAGAATTCTCAAAAATGGCAGCAGAAATAAATAAAATCAACGCCCGGTCAGTGATAAGGGGAATGGCCGTATTTTTCCTGCCTAAATTTGTGCGCAAAGTCCTCGACATAAATCTGACTACTCCTGCCGGCCTCTTCTTTCGTGACGTGGTCATACAGACGATGAAGTTGAGGCAGGAGTCAGGCATAAAGCGTGGAGACTTCCTGGACCTGATGCTGGAGCAGCGTCAGGAGCAACTCCACCAAGATGATAAAACACCAAAATACCGTAAGTAAACTGTAATGCTTATTATTCAAGTGAAGCCGTAAACCCCTTTGAATTATTCAGAGTTAGTATCGGGGTGCTACATCGGCTTATTATTGATTAAATTAACAAAATTATTATAATTTAGTTCGGTAAGATATTTCGAAGATTTAAATATTTTAAGGCAACAGGACACATGTACAACTAATGTGACATTTTATTGTGGAAACGTTTCGCTCTCCAGGAGCTTTGTCAAGCTGTTATAAACAATACATGGACACAGAGGGTATATATAAGATTAGAGTGAGGTATATATATAAGCCTATATATACCCTCTGTGTCCATGTATTGTTTGTAACGGCTTGACAAAGCTCCTGGAGAGCGAAAAGTTGTCACAATAAAATGTCACATTAGATGCACTTGTGTACTTTTACTTAATACATTATAGTTAATTCTCCCAACATTATCACAAAATATTTTTAACAGAAAACTTTGTACAGTATTAAACCGTCTATGTCATTCATTGCATAGAGAAGTGGAAGCTCGATCCTCAGTCCAGTAAAAACGACCCTATTTTTTTACAATGCGACTAGCCAAGCAGATGTTGATGAAAGTCAATATTTCACTGGGGCTTAGACAGTGACGTGTGTGACAGTGACACGAGAATAAAGACATGATTATATATCATATCACTGTAAATTCTAAATTGGCTTATGGAATACTGTTCTCAGCAAATACCTCGAACCAAATTATTTAGGTTGGGACTGGCTTGGTGTGGTTCACTTGTCATCAATATTACATAGAGGAAAAATATTTTTTATCCAAGAGCAGGAAAGATGTTTACAGAAAAAATTGTTTAGGTATCTGGCAACATTTTGGTGAAAATTCCATTGTAACACGATGTTTCTAAAGCAAATTATGGCTATTTGAACATGTCTTGTGATGAGCCGCTTAAATATATGCATGAACCGAGGTGAGTTTTCAGAAGTTTTTTTATTTTTTTGTCTATTTTTCTTTCTAATACCCTAAATTCACTACTACTCATCATTGCAGTGTGGGAGGAGCTATAACATAGTAAGAGAAGTCAAGAGGAGAGGGAAAGATAGGAATTGCTTTGTCATCAGTCTCGTCGTTGACCACAGTATTCCTTATTTTGACGTTATTATTACTGGTGCGTCATCTTTGTGGGATTGGATGGTCCAGTGAATTTTTGCTCGCTATGACGTGGGATATATATATATATGTCGTGCCGAATATGTAAAACTGGTCAATTAGCAAGAACTCATTTAAAATTAAGTTCTTTCTAAAATTTTCTCTTATACGTTTAAAGATATATTTTTTTCATTAATGTTAGTGTAATTTTTTTTAATTTTGCACCAAAAGAATCTTAGAAAACTTACCTAACCTTATTATAACAAGAACAATTTATTTTAGCCTAACCCAACTAAATATATTTTAGGTTTGTTTACAATAATTTAATACTAAACAAACACAGTGAAATATATTTTTTTCGTTAGATTCAGAATGATTTTGGCGAAATTATTGCATACACAAATTTTCGCTTGTCTTATATGGCAAGATGAGCGTTGCTATTTAAGCCAAGATCGCAAGTTCTGCCTATTCGGCACGACATATATATATATATATATATATATATATATTATATATATATATATATATATATATATATATATATATATATATATATATATATATATATTTTAAAGACAGAATATATTGGCTAAACATTCACAAAGATACAATAGAAAGTAAAACAACATAGGTAACTCAGAGCTACATCTCGAATACTTCGTCCAGCTCCCCGGCGGTGGGCCGCGTGCCCGGAATGCTGCAGGCATTTCCTCTCTGGATCGCAACACTGAGTCTCTGAAAGAGGAAGCTGGTCGCCCTGTGGCCCTTGGTTTCTATGATGAGCTTTTCACCCAGCTCTTTGAGGAACTTTAGAGCGCACTTGTCCCATGCTCCAAGAGTCTCCGACACTATTGAGATGAAGTTATAGCGAGGGGGAAGGTCTTCATATTTGCGGATCTTCTGGGTCTCCCTGTGGCTGGCAGCTCCACCTCCTTCCACTATGGACTATAACAAGTAGATGTCTGCCAATGTGGCGGCACAGGTGTAGTCCCAGGCAATCTGCTTTCCCTCCTTCCATTGAGCTGGGCAACGGGGTGTGGCGAGGCTTCTCTTTATGATGTCATTGACCTTCTCATGTCTGGCATACTTTCCTTCTGCTGTGTGACGCACGAGACCATGAAGTCAGAATTGATCAGCTGTCGCCCTGCCGCAAATACACCTATGTTCGGTGGGGATGGGGGCGGCTAGGCGAAGAGCAACACCAGTCCGAATGGCCTGTGGTCTAGTCGAATGCCCAAGGAGGAATTGGGAACAGCTAACAGGAAATCTCCTGAGTGTTGTACCTTCACTGCCAGGAGACGAGCTTTGTCCTTTTCTGAGGCGTTGGAGAGCATTGTGTTGGCGATTTTTTCCATGATCGGTTTGTCCCAGTGGGACTGTTTGTGTTCTTTGGGTTCTTTGGGAGGAGCTGGTCTACTGGAGGAATCTGTATTATTATTATAATCAAAAAGAAGCGCTAAGCCACAAGGACTGTTGATGTAAAAATTTATAATTTTGCACCCAAAGGAACTTAGAAAACTTACCTAACCTTATTATAACAAGAACAATTTATTTTAGACTAACCCAACTAAATATATTTTAGATTTGTTTACAGTAATTTAATACTAAACAAACACAGTGAAACATATTTTTTTCGTTAGGTTCAGAATGATTTTGGCGAAATTATTGCATACACAAATTTTCACTTGTCCTATATGGCAAGATGAGCGTTGCTATTTAAGCCAAGATGGCAAGTTCTGCCTATTCGGTACGACATATATATATATATATATATATATATATATATATATATATATATATATATATATATATATATATATATATATATATATATATATATATATATATATTTCATGCCTGATAAGTCAAATCGTCCAGTTTAACCTTTTTGGCAAGGGTACACTTTTCGGAATAAAGCAGTTGTCGACAATTTTATTTTATTTTCCGGCCTCCTATGTCTTGTGTATTAGAATATTGTGTTTAGTCAGCTTTTCTCCTAATAATAAGACTGACAAATAAATGATTGGAAATATGATTTTTAAATATACATGTTTTGCTTAACCCTTAAACTGTCCAAACGTAGATCTACATTTGCACACGTAGTGCTCCAAACGTTGATCAACGTTTTATTTTTCATTCCTTCAAATTTGGTGCGATAGGCCTGAGTCTTCTAGTTATGTGAGAATGGGTCTGCGCCCTAAGTGCGCGCAGAGTGAAAAAATTCACTGACTCTGGGGTACCGCGTGGTAGCATCAGTTAGTTTCAGCTCCATCTTGGGTTAACATCATGGCAGTCCCTCGTGATTCACTCACGCCTCGGCGTATTAACACTCTACTATTCTCGGAAAGTGTAACAGAACACGAGGTTAGTGAATTTGACACCGATATAGCCACTAATGTTCGAGGAATTAGTGAAATTGTTTATAATAACCCAGGTGCCCCTCAGCCCATCACTTCTGGGGTGGCCAGTGTGGCCATACCAGACCCTCAGCCAAGTACCTCTTGGGTTGCTAGTGTTACTACCCAAAGGCAACTCCGCAAGAAGAAATTATCATTTTCCAATCGTTATGGTGATGACGATAGTGAAAGTGATATAAGTGACGATGATGAAATCTATTTTATGCCCATAGACTCTATGGGCATCAAATTCGTCACTTGACGAATCCTCTATGGCATAGAGGATTCGTCAAGTGACAGTGATTATCATTATTTCCCAGTGAAACGTACTTTTAGGCGTCCTAACCTACGTTCAGGCAGTGTGCCATAAGTAGTCGGTGCCAAGTGTCGTGGCAGATCACTATCCAAAACCCCAGCTAGTGATAGTGATCATGTAAGTGAATATGCTTGGATGGAGGAAGAGCAGGTTGGTGGCATGGTGCCTGTACCTCGTGGCGCGGTGGGTGGGCAGACAAAGGACTGCCCGGCACCCTCTCAACCATGTGCTGTCTCCACTCCAGTCCTCCTGCTCGCCCATGCCCCATGCCACAGGTCCACCCTGCACCAGCTGATCGCAAATGGAAATGGACAGAAAGTACACCATTCATGCCACATCCTTTCAATTTTGATGCCAGTGGAAGTGGTATCATGCCACACTGTCCCTTCACAAATGAGTCTACAGAGTTAGACTATCTTCCACTATACTTTGATGAACCGATAATGATCTTGATTGTTACCCAGACCAACATGTACTACCAGTATACAATGGACCACATAGATGTTTCTGAATCGTCACGTCTGCGCAGGTGGAAAGATACAACTGTGCCTGAAATGTATTTATTCCTTGGCAGAATCATGCTTATGCCACACACGTATAAGAACAATATAGCACACCACTGGTCCACAGACCACTTCATCAGTACTCAAGTCTTCCGTGACCTCCTTCTCTGCAACAGATTCACTCTGTTGCTACGAATGTTGCACTTCTCAGACAGCATTGATCCTAACTGAAATTACCTCCTATACAAAATCAGGGAATTGTTTATTGTTGTTGACGAGTCCTTGATTCTGTTCAAGGGACGACTGTCATTCAAACCATATATACCAAGCAAACGTAATCGCTTTGGTATAAAACTCTTTGTAATGTGTGACTGTGAGACTGGTCTTGTGTTGGATGTCATTATCTATTGAGGTAAAAACACACTCGACGATACCAGGCATTTCTGGAGTTGTTGTTCGCAAGATGATGCAGCCATACCTTGGCAAGGGTCATACATTGTTTACAGACAACTGGTATACAAGCCCTATGCTTGCTGATTTCTTAAGTGTGAACAATATTGATATATGTGGAACAGTGAGAAAAATAGAAAACACATGCCAAGGTTCAATCGAATCGAATCGAGGACGACGAGAGCTGTCGTAAGATGGGAAGGGAGAAGGATAAGGAAGGATGGAAATAACTGGAAAAGGATGGGGAGGAGGGGAAGAGGAGGAATCAAGGCAAGTGGCCCAACCACTTTGGGACATGTGGTACGAAAGTACTGGAGACGTAGATAGAGAGGCTTGACTGATGTCATTGCTTGGCTCACTAGGAGAGGATGGCGAAGGCAGCGGTAGGAGCTGGGAGTGTCAGAAGGCAGCAAGCAGGATGAGTTGGTTATGGTCTTAAACCGTTTATCAGTGCGGTAAATTGTTTTCGAGAGAGTTGTATCACACTTATGGGAGAGCTGTAGTAGTATTCGTTGGTTTGGAGTTGGTGGAGTATCTGGTTGTAGGTAGGGAATGGTCTTTCTTCGCTTTGGTACGATACAGTGTTGTCTTGGAGATGTTGGATGAGTTCTAGGCGAGTCATGCTTGCAGGGTACAGCCTCGTGGTGTAGAATATGAGTCCTTTGTGTTTAACCCATGGTGTTCCAGTTAATCGACGTGAGCTAAGTAGAGAAGGCGGTGGTGGAGTAGAGGAAGGTGGTGTTGCTTCGTTTTCAACTTCAGTAGACGAATTAGAAGATGTTTCTGGTGGTAAGGCTTCTGATTGGTTGGATTCAGTGAGAGGTGGTGGCGGTGGAGGCTTCTCATTGGTCGTTGTTGGATTGACGTCACTAGTTGGTGGTGTTGATGGAACTTCTGCAGAAGAGTTGGCGATTAAGTTTTTGGTGAATTTGAGAATTTCTTCAGAAGGTGGAGATGCTGGAAATGTAAATGAAGGCATGTTATTTAATGCAAATAACTCGTTGATGGTAGAGTTAAATGATCCAGGTACAGCCATGTTTTGCATATGAGCGTATAGTAGACAGTAGTGAATCTTCGTTACGTCACATGTTGGAGGAGTGATGGTAGTGGTGGTGGTGGAGGCGGGCTGAGTAGATGCTTGAAGTAATTTTGTAGTGTCTGCTTGTATTTTTGCAATTGCTGCATACGTTGGAGTGTTGCTAGTAGGTTTTTTCTTTGCTGTATCTTGTGTTTTCTTCATAATATCCTTTCTTGTAGGACATTTTGCTGCCAGTGTATGGTGATCATTACTCTTGCAGTTTAAGCACGCTGGTTGTGTTGGAGCAGCAGCGGTGCAGGAACTGAAGGCGTGTCCCTCACTACCACATGTAGTGCAGAACTTCTTGTCTTTTACTGGACATGCTTTGGTGGTGTGATGGTATGAATAACAGTTCCAGCAATGTTGGATGTAGTGATATCTCTCTGCTTCAATGTAGGTAGGGCTGATGTAGTAGTAGTAGACAGCAAGACCTTCGTTCAGTGCAGTGGCAGCCATGTTCACGTCGGTGAAGGTGACCTTGATCATGGACGTTGCATTTGGGATTTTTGTAATGCTGTCAACAGTAGCCCAAGTATTTTGCGTCTCGATGGATGACTTGAGCTCAGCAGGTGTTTGAGACGTCAGAATCTTGTCCAGTTTTTTTAGGAATACTGATTTCCTTGCCCTGAGGGCAGGAGATGACGTAACAGTAAACCCTTGAGTAGTAAGAGTAGTGATGGCTTCTGTAGTGAGTAGCTTCTCTGCTTCAGCATCATCGTGACACACAACAATGAATGCTTCTTTCAGTGACAATATGGTGTTGAATTTTACTTCCAGTGCTCCCTGAACAACAGTTGCAAGAGCAATCTTCGTTGAATCATCAACGGTACCATTTCTTGGTTTAATCTTTACACGATTTGCGTAGCTCATCGTGTAAGTCAAGGCGATGACAACGCTGGTAAAGGTTCCCCTCCCCAACGGGGATCGTAGGGAGACAGAGTAAGTAAGGAGAGCTGCTATGACCTGCCTGGGCGAGGCCAAGGTTCACTGGAGGAAGTGTAATGCAAGCATTTCATGCCAATGACATCATGGCACTGACGTGGCATGACAAACAGGAGTGACATTGCTGTCAACCATCCACAGAAACGATATGGTACAGACAGATTGAGCAAGTACAACAGTGAACCTATTGTTAAGCCAGCTGCTGTCATCGACTATACGAACAATATGCGACTAGTCGACAAGTGTGACATGATGATAGGCTTTGTTGACTGTGTACATAGGAGTCGCAAATGGTATATAAAAGTGTTTTTCCACCTTGTAGACATTGCAGTGCTCAATGCCTTCAACTTGTATGAAATAAAGACAGGGAAGCAACAACGATATGCGGAATTCACCCTCAATGTTATCAAGCAGAGAGCGAACAAGTATGGTACCATACCTATACCTGTCACTGGATAGCGACCTGTCTCCCCACAACAGCGACCTGTCACTCCACAAGAAGAGAGGGGAAGTGCATGATCGAATAATCCCTAACTGTCACTGCCTGATACCATTACCATCTACTCCAAAGAAAAAGTGTGTTGTGTGTGCTTACACTACACACCGACCCCAAGTGCGAAAAGACACACAATACATGTGTCAGTAATGTGGGGTGGCACTCTATGAATCCATGCTTCTTGGAGTATCATACAGTGGTGGACTTCTAGAAACATAAATGGGACCTGTAAATACCTTGTATATATATGTAAACAATAGTATGTGATTTAACCAGGAGTACAAATTCATCTATCAGTGTGAATCTGTGTATTTGTGACAGTGTGATTACTAATTCAGTACCAAATATTTGTGTCTCAACAAGAATTGGGTATGAAATCAAAAGATCTGCAATAAAACATTATCATAACATGAAAACAACAAAAAATAGAAAATAAATGAAAAAAAAAATGATAAATGTTTATTGTTTCTGCAAGTGGCAGTGTTCCATGTTGCCGACTCCTCAGCATCTAGCAAGAACTTTTTGGGCTTATATCTCGGTTAGTACTGACCCCCAATTTTTTTTTTGTCCTATAACATTTCTAAAAATGCGCTCTTCATTTAAAAAAAAAAACTATTTTTTCATTTTTCAAAATATTCGGAGCCCTGCGTGAGTGAACGTAGATCTACGTTTGGACAGTTTAAGGATTAAGGACGTTTCACTGTGAATATTTATCACTATTACGCAGTCTATTATAAAATGTGTATAAAAAACGATCCATGTATAATCTCAGTTTCCGGGATTTGTTCAGAAAATGGACTCCTATTAGTCCTGACAGGACAGGAGCAGATGAGGCGTTTTTGAGTCAGTACGAGAACAGCAACAGCGGCGGCTGGAACAAGTTGTCATGGTTTGGTGTAGGTATGTAGGTGATATTTATGGGCAAGTCTAGGCCTTTGGCCTGTGTTTTGGAGAGTACATATAACGTTGTGACTGCAGGTTAAGTAGCCGGCAGGAAAGGGGGTGGGGTTATAAAGCCTCCCTGTTTATATAATTTACTCACTAGCAGCAATGTGCTAGTGAGTTAATGTGTATTTGGTGAAGGTGGACTGGTGTGTGGTGATTTTGGTATGTAGAGAGTAGGTTGTATGCTGTACATGTTAATTTACTATTAATATATATATATTTTTGTATAGGTGGGTTTTTGTGTCATTCCTTATAATAAATTTAATATTGACCATTTAATTAACACTTTATGTGAAGGTACAAGCTGGCCCTAGGTTGGTTTATGTGGAGTAATTTAAATGCCCTTACATTAGGAAGATTGTTTACCACTAGGAGCCAGGATTTCATTTAAATTATGCAGTAAAAATCGTAACATCACTGTGATGTTTAACAGTGTTCATCGTAATTATTCTGTTTATTTGAGTCCAGTATAATTTAGAATATGAACTTCTACATATTATGTAGATATACTCGTAAGTGCCACATTCCATACTTGCCGTACTAATAAGTTTTGTTGATTTATTTTTAGCTCTGAAAGATGACACCATCATTGCTCAGTCCATGTTATTCCTGGTGGCTGGTTTCGACACCACTGCCAACACTCTGGCATTCACCGCCTTCCATCTGGCCAAACACCCGCACATTCAACAACGTCTTCGTGAGGA